ATATATATATATATATATATATATATATATATATATATATATATATATATATATATATATATATATATATATATATATATATATATATATATATATATATATATATATATATATATATATATATATATATATATATATATATATATTGATAGGTATACATGCGTAGGTACATATATACATACATATCAGATGTCTATTAATGCAAACCATAATGCATGGTACAAATGCAGATGCGAGTCACAACACAACCACTATAGTACCTCCACTGTCTCTCCCACTTACCGTGTTCCTGTGAGTATGTTAGGATTATTCGGCCCGTGGAATCAATGCATGTGGTGGGGGTGACGTGTGTGGTGCAATCACCGCATGCTGGTATGCCGTCCTGTCCCTTCTTGCACTTCGGTGCCTCATCCCCACTGGAGTCACTACCACTGCTACTGTTGTGTCGCTTGTCGTCTAAGTTGAGTTTGTTTTTGAAGGCGCGTTTGAGGAACCCCATAGTGATGGACTAAGTAGCTCACACGTGTACTGGAAGTGTGTTGCTAATAGTGTATGTCGTTCTGCTGGCGGCGTGCGTAGTCGCACTGCATATAACAGATAAATAACTATATAGTACTGATTTCAGAAACATGCGCGTATGTTGCACAAAACGAGTCAATCAACATAGATGATAGGCCACAGGAACAAGGTATTTACACTTGTTGATCACACACACTCACTCTCTCTCTCTCTCTCTCTAGAGTAGAGCTAGTGAGAGAGTAAACAGTGACTGGAGAGCTTTGGAAGACGAGGCAAGGCCGCCAGGCGGCCAGGGATATACATAGCCTTTTTCCGGCCTTTTTTTGTTTTTGAAAAACTGTCTCGAATGCAATGGATAGTTTGATATTTACATCGGAAGAGGACACGGGATGATGACACTGATGAACTATGACGTAATGATGTGATGACGTGATGACGTGATGACGTGAGGATGTTGTTAAATATCGACATCTTGTTGTGAATGTTATGCCATAAATTAATGATGTCATAGCTAGTGCGTCATCAGAAGGTATTGGTTTTTTAGTTGTTTTTTATATACAAAATATGACAAGAAGTTGTGTTGTCGGGGTGTCAGTTGAGTCGCTGACACTGCGAGACTCAGTGAAGAGTCTGTGACTGTGTGACTCAGTGAGTGACTGAGTGACCACTGTGACTTTCAACTTTCAAGTTTCAACTTTCGACTTTCAAGAAGAGCCAACACAAGCAAGAGGAGTCAAGACTCAAGGACTGTTAACTGCTGGAGAGTCTGGAGAACAAGAACCGATCGCAAAGCGTTGATATTTTATCATAGGACATATGTAGTCTATGCCCTATGTAAAAGTTATTTACCATACTAAAATATTACATTTATGATAATAAATATAGAACAGTTCTGTTTTGGATTAAAAATAAACCAATAAGCTATGACCAATTGAAGGCTTTGAAGCCCATCTGATCTGTGGCGATTACAAAAAAAAGTAGAAATATACTTAAAAAAGGTTAAAACTCAACGTACGCAAAATAATATTGTCCTTAAGAGCGAATTTAACCAATAGATATGATGCATTACCAAATTGAGATTCAAAGCTTAATATTAACCAATAAAATACATTCACAACATTTGATACCACCAATGAACAATCAATAGTATTCCGATGAGTTGTTGGATTCTAGAGTAATATCATCATTGTTGGATCATACTGCTTGCGACCCAATAGAGTTAGAGGAATGGTTTTATCGTGGTGCTTTTGGTTGTGGCTCGTGGTGTGGGCCTGTGACTTGTGAGTGTGGGAAGACTGGCTGTCGGTCTGAGAATTTAATTAACCACTCTATCACACACCAGTACATCACCTAACTTTTGAATTTGAAGTAGACACGGCCCAGTCGTCTTCTTCCCAGTCTAACTATAGTGCTGTTATTTCTATATTGCAGTTGTTGAGTAACCAGTGACAGATACGGCACCATGCCTAACCCATTGCCACAGAGCCTCAAGAAGGAGTGTGAACAGGCCACGGAACTGCTCACGTCCTTCTACGAACAGGTGGATAGTTTGACTATAAAGTTTTTAGCGCATATCTCAATTCTCGATGAACGGTAACTAAGGATTAGATATATATATTAATACTCGCGAGAGATGTGTACTGATAGATTATCAGCTACTATGGTATGGGGTTCAATGACACAGGTCAATGCAAGCATATGGTTTAAAGTTAGCTACTTCAATGCCTCTGGAAGTACAAGTATACGTAAATGTTGAAACTGCTATAAACGTGCACACAAATACACCCATACATGATTCATGCCTATAGTTTAATATATAAAAATTGGGCTACGTACATATATAATATATATATATATATATATGTGTGTGTGTGTGTGTGTGTTGTATACGTATATTATATATA